CTGGTGTTACTTGGTGTTAATCAATAGTTAGCAGATACTGATGTGTGCAAAGGAGAAAGAAACAGAGAGAATATAGGAGCAGAGATAGAAGAGTTAGCAGAGGGGGATCTCTGTTTGATTTCATTCATCAACACACACTTGCAATCACGCTGCTTAGGGACATGGCGGTCAATGTCCAGGACTAACAGCCTTCTCCTTGTGTTACTTTTTTTTGGCCTTGAAGGCTGCTTAGGAAGAATCCTCCTTTGTACAACTTAACGAGTAAGGTTGAACTCTGATGAAGTCCTGTATTTTTTTCCATAGAGTTGGAATGACACAACCATCTTTTTCTCCGGTGCCCTGAGACTGAAAGGTTTTTTGATATGGCTTTGCTATGCCTTAATTTCAAAGGATGGACTGTGGACGTTTTGCCAAGAAAGAGCTTTGAGCTTGGAGTCACAATGTCACCCCTAACAAGAGATCATTTCCCTATCCTTCTCTCTATCTTTCTGTTCACGTGGAAACAGAGGAATGCTTTTGGGAGTTTTGCTCTTCGTTAGCTGCTATATTTTGCTTAAGATCACCCTATAGTTGATGGGATTACTATTTTGAACCTATTTGGTAGTTTGTCCTTGAAATGTGTAATTCTTTACATGCTTTCTTCAGGAAGCACCACCTTGGTGCCTTTTTAATGAATTTTTTTTTTCTCTCAAAAAAAGAAAGATATCTTTTCACTTGTCATTAGATACAAATCATCTATTTCTAAAAATCATTTCCTGTTAGCTAATTCTATACGAAATGATGACTGTTACGATAAACCAAGAGTTACACCTATAAAGCACGAATAATGAAATAATTTCATTCTACAAGTTTCTGTTTTGTTTATGCTCTATATGGCTGTCAGCCAAGTTAATGGGCGATACATGATTTACAGTCTTGTTTTAGGGCCTAGTAGAAATTCAGTAAGTCGTTTGTGATAATATATTCTAAAAATTATGCAGATTTACTTTCCAGAGCTTCCTTTGGGCCAAAAGATGCCGCTTCTCGTGCAGGACATTACAGGAGTTAATTGGCAGTTCGTGTATGGGGTCTGGTGGATGAATGGCCGAAAGATATACGTGTTGGAAGGTTTTGATGGGTACATGACCTTAATGGGATTGAAACCAGGTGATAAAGGTAAGTGCATAATTCCAGATGCAGTAACGCTTAGATAAGCTTTCTTTTTGGTCATTCTTCATTTGAATAATTGCCATTTTTTGCATTTTTCTACACTTGCAATTAAGTGATTTTAGCCCTATTTGCAGCTGATGAGATTTTGTAAAAACATGTAGGGTTCACCACGTTGAGGAAAATAGTTTTCCTTTTCCAATTACTGTCTTCTTTAAACATTTTTATTTTGACTTTTCCTTGGGAAAAAAGAGTGTATGGTTGAAACCTTTTGACGTTTGGGACTTAGTACTTACTAATATATGAAGAGACATTGACTAAGAGTGGTGGAATGTTCAGTTACGTTTTATCGGACTGAACCGGAGAAAAAGCTGATAATTCGATTGCAGAAGGCTCCAGATAATAAATGAAGTAGAAGGTATGCATCCTTAACATTAATCTCTTAGGTAACTCAAGCAAAATATTAGATTGAGCATACATCTTTTCCTGAAAAAGGAGTCACTAATTTCTTGGGGATGGATAAGTGTAATGGTGATGCATAATTCTGCCATGTGATTGCTATTGTGTTCAAGTCCCTGCTCGAAGAAGTCGCACCATTATCTACATGGGCTTCCAAATTCATCCTAGCATGGATTTTCTTGTTGTCTAGTGTTCATTGCGTTAATGAGTTCAGCTGTTTTGTTAAATCAAAAATGTTATAGGTACAAAAGAATATGACACCAGCTGGTAGAACTTGAGTATTCAAATTAACTGTACCAAATCAATTTCATTGCTTAATCGAAACAATAGAAGATAGGGATTTTTATGGCTCCTTGTTTTAAAGAGGATTTCTGTGCTATATTAGCACCAATCCCTTTATGGTATACAGCTTACCACTGCATCTTGTGTTTGTATTACTCACAAATAAGTTGCAATCCATTTTTTCATGGGTATCTTGGCAATCAAAATGCAATCAGAGTGGAAAAAGGAAAGGAAAATCGATTGGATCTATTAATGCTTGCATTTGTTCTATAAGTAAATTCGGTTGTTTCTTTAGATCATGTACTGTTTTCGCAATTCTTATCTAGGTTGTGCAATTTAGTGCTAGTAAATAAATTATATATTAGATGTAATTCTAATGTATGATATATCTTCTCTGTTCCGCTTTTTTAAGTATTTCAATGCCATAACCTTGTCTTTGATGCTATCCTGATTCTTTCAAAAGGAGTCTCGATACAGTAGAACAGACTATATAGGTCCTTTGATAGGGCAAGCATGCTATACAGAAGCCAATCCTGAGAAAAGTTTGTGCAGAAAGCATATTTTTAGCATATGCTTGTATTATAATATAATTATATGACTTTATTCTGTGAATCTATACTTGTACATATGAAAGTGCTTTATGCTAGTAAAGTTATTATGCTTTTTTTTTCCCCTTTCCCAGAGGGTGATGTGGTGCTGAGAATGTTGCCGTGGATGCTGCTGGAGCTCTTTGTGGATATTCTGTTCTTATCAGTTTGTGTTATTGAAGCCTGCTGCTCTGTGCCTCAGAATTTCTTTTTAATTTTCGGTTTTCTCTCATTTATTGGTCAAACTATAACGGTTAATTAATCTCTGAGTCCTGAAGTTCCCTGGGATTTCATGGATAATAATCAGTTGCGTTTTCCTTAAGGATAACCTTTGAGAAACAAAGGGATGATACTTGATTCCAATGTTGTTGCTGGATTCTTTCCATAAATCTTTCATTTTTAATAATTCTGCCCCAATTGGAAATAACTCCAGTCCTCAAGGACTTCGAGCGCATCTGCACGCACACCTCTATTTTGTGTGGTGGGCAGTTGGCAAATTTCGAGAGATCATCTTGTTAGGTGGAACTTCTGCTGTCTTCCAAGGAAGAATTGGGCCTTGATCTTGGGAATCTAGTGTCTAAATTCTGTCTTTGGTCAATCGGCTTGACTTTTTTTTTTTTTGTAGAATTAACCTCTTTATAACCCATGGTAATAAAGATCAAATTTAGGTCTCTATATTGGGATCTTACAACGGACAGTTTGAAGGGAGATGAAGACCAAATAAGAGAGAACTATTCAATCTTTGCGAGAATTTATTAAGAGATTTAATATATCTGAATTCAGTGAGAAATTCATACTTTTTACAGACAAATTCTCATTATATTTTCTTCATCAAAATTGCTCATCTGTGCACTGTCCTGATAAGATCAGTTTATAAAGCTACTCTCCTAAGTAATTGGCAACCTCCAATATCTTTGTAGGTCTTTGGATTCTTTAGAGAGAGTTCTCTTATTGTACTTCGTAAGGATTGGATTATCATATATTCTTGGTTCTTAAATTTTCTTTGCTCTTTTGTATGATATTCTTGGTTCTTAAACTTATCTCCTATAAGTTTCTTTCATCCAACCCTTTTAGACATTAGGATATATGTCATGTCTAATTGTTAACTAAGATCCAAATTAAAGTGAAGTTAGAGATAACTCTTTCCAAATGAATTAAAATATAAGCTAAGAGTCATTTTTGAGAGAAATTTAGGTTATGTTTAGAATAAAGATGTCGAATACATCTAGAAATTTATGGTTAATTTAACTACGAAAATAAATTTTATTGGATGATGAAAATTGATGTCTTAGAGAACTTAATTTGAAGTTCTTTTTAGAGTTTAATTTTTATTTTTTAATAAAATTTTTATAATTTTTTAATTAAATAAGTGTAGTTTAGAAAAAAAAAATTTATTTGTATAAGCATAATCTTTGTGTCACAAGAACAAGAAATGAAAAGGTAAAGGTTCTAAAATACAGTCCTTGAAACATTTGAACTAAAGGTATATCTTACACCAAGCATGTGAGCCACTAATAAATTGGATGTTAAATATGTATTGAGCGTGAAGAATTGATCTTAACCAACTTATCTAAAAATTTTAGGTTGGTGGAGAAAATGTCAATTTGTTATTTATATTTAATAAAATTTTATGTTAGTATAAAATATATTTAAATATATTTTATACTAAATTTTAACGAATAAAACATGAGTAACAACTAAAAGAAATATTGAAATACTAGCTCGGTTTTAAATCGATTGCGTCTAATTGAGTCAAATATTTAAATTTTTAAAAGAATATAATTTTTTATTTATAATTTAATAATTAGTATAAAAATGTATGTTAGGCAGGACTATATTAAACTTATGTGATCAACATTAATTTGAGACATTTAGAAGTGAATTAAAGAGAAAAGAAAATTTATTAGCATATGTAGAGCTCACAAGGGATAGATGGTCCTTAGGTTATTCAAATATTATTTTATGTTGCATTTTATGCCTCCCCATTTATTAAAATCTTTTGAAGAGTATTAACAAATGCTATCATATCAAATGCATTAAAATATCAAATTTAGCTAAATATATAAACATATATATATATATATATATTGATAAGATTTTTTTTACAATGCAGTAAAAAGGAAATTTTTAATTTAGACTGTTGAAGAAATTAATACATTTAAGATTTTAATTTTAAAGTATTATTTACAAAACTTAATAATTATAATGCAATAACAGTACAAAATTATTTAGTTTAAAAATTAATTTAAGATTTTCCTTGCTTTAATTTGATAGTAAATATTTAAATACGATGCTTAATTCATTTTTTTTAATCAACATTTAAATTCGTCATTTTTTTAATAATAATAATAAAAAAATCCGTGGGTTTGAGCCGAATGGCTTCAGCAAGCTGATAATCGGGTGGCCCAAAATTCCACGTCACAATTTGGAAAAAATTTAAAAATAAAAAAAAAATCTGCCACTAACCGTTTAAACCATAAATAGTTTAGTTACTTCAAAACGCCACTCTTACCTCCATCATCACAATCTCTCTCTCCCTCTCTCTCTCCCTCTCTCTCTCTCTTACTTACTGTTCCTTCTCCTGTTTGGTTCCGGAGAAAATCGTGCGAAATTGACGAGGAAATTCTACAAATGAGTTTGCCAGCAAATCACTGCGGAAGCGCTTTCACTGATTTCTGCAGAATTTCGGGGTACAGAGTTAACGGGAGAAGCTGTCATGGTGAGTCCGTTTTTATATTTTAGTTTGCGTATTTCTATTTCTCTAGAAAACATGTTGAGATCTTATGAAGCCGGAAATGATTTCGCAACTGTTTGTTTTGTTACTATTGAACTATAACTAGTGCTCCTTGTATTCAATATCATAAATGCACGAGAATCGTTACTAATTCGGTCTTTCGGATGGTGAACTCTTACTACTTTTGAACTTAAACTCTCTGTAATTAGGCAAATACAGGGCGCCTATCGCCATGCGGTATGGACCTTCAGAAAATGAGGATGGTCTCCAGCAAGATTTTATTCTTTCGGGGAAGAATAACGGAAGCAAAAACCTAAAGTTAAAAACCATTGTAAATGCTGCGGCAGGTAATGTTTGTTTGGCATCTACTGCTCTATTTCCTTTTCCGTTTTGCTTTTTACAAAATGTAATGATTGGATATTACCATATTTCGCATGTTGTGAATGGATGATTTAGTAACGTACAGTCTACTTCCTGTATTGTTGATGGAAATTGTTCGGTAAAGCATGATGTTTGTGTAACACCCAAGTATTTTTTTAATTTTATTCTTATTATTTTTATTTTTCTTTTTTTGTATTTGAATTTTTTAGATTTTTATTTAATTTAATTTAATAAAAATAAAAATAATAATAATGATAAAATTGGGTAAAAATATTATTTGGATTTAATTAAAATTAATTTTGAGAAAAATGGGTGAAAATTTGGATCCTGAGAGTGTTTTTGAAAAGAAAATCGAAAACCGGAAGTAAAAATGTAATTTTGAAAAATTGTGCCACGTCAACAGCCCAGTCAGTAAATTCCTTATCTACAAGGATGTGAGCTTCCATAATACTGTGTATTTGCAATGTTATAGGATCAATTTGGCAAGAGCCAAGATCTGCTAGACTGTTGGAAACTATATCTAGGTTTGATTGAATTTGTATATTTTGATTTTCTTCTTTTCATGGTTTTGGATCTGTTCACGTTAACATTTTTCTTCTTTTTACAGTTTCAATGGTCTGTAGGTTGTGAATATTTTGTTGACTTTTTGTAACCATGAAAATCTTTTCAATCTTTTCCAGTGGCTAATTTGGCTGCAATTGACTCAGCAAAGGCTTTAAGTATGAAGAGTGCCTTGGTAAGTATTTGTCTTGTTTCTTGCATAGCCTCCTCTACTGCCAACTGCTTCATGTGGTTATACCCTTAGGATTTACAATGTGAAATTGATCAAACACTTTTTCAGTAATCTCCAACTGTTTTTGTAGGCTTGCTCTCAAATTTCATTGGCAGACACTCTATTTGGAAGCCTCTTTCTCTTTAAAATTTAATTTTCAAAATATTTTGAGTTCCTTATTTCCATGTGCTTTTTAATATCACCTAGCACTTGCATATAATCTCAGGAACTAGAATTATTTTCCTTCGAGTCAGGAAGGAGCTGCTTCTGTTTATACCTTGGCTGATGGAAGCCTGGGAGAACTGTTAGGAGGCTTCTTATTTTCAGCTGGGCAGCAAGCTAATGAAGCAGTTCAGGACCAGTTATCTGCTCTCAGTTTCACCAGGTTCTGTGCTTATCAGTCCAATATAGCAGTAGTTTAGAGGATTTGATTGGAGTGTTGCATCTATGCTCTGTGTTTAACTACCTATTTCTCTTTACAGTTTGGCAGTTATTTTTGGGGCAGGCTTGGTTACCAGCCTTTCTCCATGCACACTAAGTGTTTTACCATTGACCCTTGGTTACATTGGTAAGACTTTTTTCTAAGTTTAGTTTTGTGGAATTTGTGAAGTAACACTTAAGTCTTGTTTGGTATTTATTGAATGTTTAATGCTGATTCAAATCATGGTTGGAATCGTCCAGGTGCTTTTGGATCTGGTAAAGGCAGAGCTGAGGTTGTCATTACCTAATCAGATATTTCTTCCCTTACACCCACAACTACTACTTTTCATGTCACAAGATTTTCTGAGAAATATGTAGACTGTAATTAAAAACGGAATTAACCTGAAGATATAAGGATGATTTAACTCTATGTTGGATTTGTATAAATGGAAGAAGATAGTACAATAATTCTCAGAAAATGAAAAATTGATAATTTGATGGATTCAAATGGATGTAGAAACTGAAAGAAAGATGTAGAACCACCTTGTATAGAATCTAAAGATGTAGAACCACCTTGTATAGAATCTCAAGATGCTGTGCCCTCAAAAGATTTATAAAAGTAAGAAACCAAAATGTCTATTTTCTTCCACAAATTCACAACACCAAGAATGGGATGCCCTGTCAACAAAATAATTAGGTCTTGGAAACAGTGATCTGTCATGCTATTTTTGTAGTCATGTCATCATTGCACAGGCTTCCTAATGTTAATTACGTATCTGAGAAGCACACAATTCTCTTTATTCTCGAGCTCCATCGATCTCTTCCTGCTTATTCAGCATTCAAATTAGAATGATTTTGTGATGGACAGGTTATAGGTGATTCCATCGCATTTGCATTAGGACTGGCTACTACACTAGCACTCCTAGGCGTAGCGGCCTCCTTTGCTGGGAAAGCATATGGACAGATAGGACAGGGATTGCCTTTGGCCGCATCGGGTTTGGCTATTGTAATGGGTCTGAATCTCCTTGAGGTATTTATCCATTTAGGCATTTGTTTTGGGTTAGCATTTAGTAGCTTTTGTGCTTGTGCATTTTTTATCTAATTTTTCCTCTTCTTTTTATGGATTCAGATAATTGAATTACAACTTCCTTCCTTCTTTGACAACTTTGATGCTCGCGCTGCTGCTGCTAACTTTCCATCAAGTAATTGACCTATTTATTTCACTGTACTTAAAAAAGTCATGATTTAGGTGGACCTATTGTCAAAGCTTATAGATTCTAACTTTAAAAACTCGATGTGTTAGGTGTGCAAGCGTACCTAGCTGGACTTACATTTGCATTAGCTGCTTCACCTTGCAGTACCCCAGTGCTGGCCACCCTGCTGGGATATGTGGCTACTTCCAGGGTATTTTAATATCTGAAATCTGTTTTTCGTTTGAACAAATATAACTTGTACTTCTGTTAGTAATAAGATGACTCAATGGAGGGACTGCTCTCTCTCTCTCTCTCTCTCTCTCCCTCCCTCCCTCCCTCTGCATACGCACTGCAGACAGATAGAGAAGGAGCTACTTTGACTTCATATAGTGGTTTGCCTACTAATCAATTTTAATAATGCTATGTAGTTGGCAGATTTTTGTTTTCTTTTTCTTGTAAATATGTAACTAGTGGATTTAGATTGGAAGGATTCTACACATGGATTCGCTATCTCAAAGTCTTGGGTCTGTTAAAGGGTTGACAATTTTTGTTGTCAACCAAACCAGTGTTTTGTCCACAACTCTGGTTTTGATATAGAGAATGGAAGGATTCTACACATGGATCCGCTATCTCAAAGTCTTGGGTCTGTTAAAGGGTTGGCAATTTTTGCTGTCAACCAAAACAGTGTTGTGTCCACAACTCTGGTTTTGGTATAGAGAATAATGTGTTGTGTGATGCTTGTATCAGTGTACGAGCTCTTTTTTTGGTCTGTTTAACTAAAGGTTACTTAAGCTTGTTTACAGAACATCTTTTCTTTTTCTAGAATATAGAAGCTATCATGAATAGCATGGAAATAATTAAGTTTATTTTTCATTGAAAAATAAGAAAATTCAAACTTCCCATACATTTTATTCTTCTTCAACACTTTCTGCTGCTTTCTCTCCTTTGTTTTTCTACATTTCCAGACTTCTGTTCTCTCCAAATTTTTTATTTTCTACTCTTCAAAGGACACACAAAGCCAAGACCAAAAGGTACACAAATTTCAACAAGTGGTACAAGAGTTTATATACTCTTTGAGGGACCAAAAACTATAAACGTTTCTGCTGCAAAATCATCAAAACCAACCACCAGAGATCAAAACTTTCTGAACATGGCCTTGGGTAGTTCGGAAGCATTTCTCCTCCAGTTTTCAATGGAGAAAACTATCAGCTTTGAGCTGTTAGAATGAAAGCTGTTTTGAAGGGGATGGATCTATGGGAGACTGTTGAACTTGAAGAAGATCCTCCTTCCTTAAGAGAAAAACTCAACCATTAATCAAATGAAGAATCATGCAGAGAAAGTAGCAAAGAAGACAAAGGCATTTCTTTTTTCACTCAGTTGTATTTGAAGCAGAATTTGTGAGGATTATATCACGAAATGGGCAAAGAAGATTGGGATGGAATCAAAGAGGAGTTCCAAGGAAGTGAGAAGACAGAGCAAATGCAAATACTCAACCTAAGAAGAGAGTTTGAAGTCCTTAGGATGAATGATTCAGGATCTATGAATGATTTCATGGATAGGGTGATGAAG